CGCCGGCGGGACAAGGGTGGGCTCGGCCCCGCGCCGCAGCGGGCGGCGGCTCCGGTGGGACGGAGTCCGCTGCGGAACGGCGCGGGGCCAGGCGGGAGCGGCGGTGGGGCGAGCCAGCTCTCGGCTGCCGGTACCGGGCCCGGGCAGCGTCGCTGGGCTGGGGGGCTGCTCGGCTGGGGTGGGTTTGACCGGGTTCGGCGTTTCACGGCTGGGAGGGGGCCGGCGGCGAGCAGGCGAGGGTTGGCGGGGCAGGGGCGGGACGGGCCCGGCTGGGTGCGGGTGCCGGTGCCGGTTCCGCCGCGCTGAGCCCGCTGTCCCCGCAGGTCGGGAGCCGCTGGGCGCTTTGGGGCAGCGCCCGGCCTGCAAGAAGCGGCGCAAATCGCGGACGGCGTTCACCAACCAGCAGATCTACGAGCTGGAGCAGCGGTTCCTGCGGCAGAAGTACCTGTCCCCGGCGGACCGGGACCAGCTGGCGGCGCGGCTGGCGCTCAGCACGGCACAGGTCATCACCTGGTTCCAGAACCGTCGGGCCAAACTCAAGCGAGACCTGGAGGAGCTGCGGGCCGACGTGGCCTCCCTGCAGGCGCTGCCCCCCGCCGCCCTCCAGCAGCTGGCGGCGATGCCCGACCCCCCGCGCCCACCGGGACCCGGTCCCGGACCCGGACCCGGACCCGGACCCGCACCGCCGCCGGCCGCCGCCGAGCTCTCGGAGGAAGAGATCGACGTGGGGGACTGAGGCGGTGACGGTGGAGGCCGGGGGAATCCTGGGCCGGCACCGAGACTGACCGAGCCCCCGGGCTGGACGGGGCGGCCGCGCTGCCCCCGCCCCGAGGGGAATTGGTGCAATTTTTCCCTTTTTTTTTTTTTTTTTTTTTTTCGCCCTTTTTTTTTTTTTTTTTTTTTTTTTTTTTTTTTATTTTTTTATTTTTTTTTAATTTTATTTTCTATCGTGTCTGTCCCACCGGCCCGTCCGCGGCCCCGCCGCCTCGAGAGCCGGTGGGGGGGCCCGGCCCGGCCCGCCCGGGTGTAAATATTTGGAATAAAGGCGACACCTTATTACAAGGCGACACCGCGGAAGGGCTCCGGCGGCCGACGGGACGGACGGCAACCCCCGCACCCCCCGGACCGTGAGCACACACCGGGGGGGATGCTCTGCTCTGTCGGCTTACCTGGGCCGGGGGGGGGCCTTGCCGGAGCCCGGGGCAGCAGCGACCCCCCCGGACCCCCGCACGCTGTCGCGACTCGGCTGCGCGCATCTCCCGTTCCTCGAGCTGCAGACCCCGCTACCGAGAGCCGAAGGTCCCCCCGCCTCGGGGTGCCCGGCACGGCCGGGGGGTCACTCGGTATCACCCTCGGAGAGGGGATGGAGGCTGCCGGTCCCACGGGGCGGGGGCGGGCCGGGGGGGAGGAGCTGCCGGCAGCGGCCCCCAAACGGGCTCCGTGTGTAAGGAGCGGACGCTGCGCCCCAGCTTGAAGCGGGGCGGGGGGGGAGCGTG